CCGGCCTTGCGCCACGAGCAGCAACGCCAGCCCGGAGAGCGGCACCACAGAGACCACCAGCAGAACGACAGGGGCCACCAACGCCACGGCGGCGAGCACCGCGCCGGCCACGACGAGGTGCACCGCGCCGGCGACCAGCAGCACCGCACGCCGCCACAGCCAACGCCCAACGACCAACACCACAACGAGCACAGCGACAACAGCTAGCCGCAGCGCCACCAGAACCGCTACGACGGCGACCAGCAGCACTACGCACAACAACGCAGACTCAGCCAGCGGCACCACACGGAGCACCCAGCGTACACGGCGAGCACCACCACGACGGCAGCCCAGAGGACGGGGAGGAGACGGCGGCAGCAGCGGAGGAGGAGCAGGAGGAGGCTCAGGAGGCCGAGGAGAAACGCGCCTACGCCGACACCAACGCCAGCGACGACGACAGCACTAACGCCAGACCAGACGCCAGCACGGCCACGACCCCCGACGCCAGCCCGGGCCCCAGCGCCTACGCCTACGCCAGCCCCAACACCGAGGCTGAGGGCGAGGAGGACAAGGAGGCGGCGACGGGGGAGGAGGAGGCTGAGGCGGCCGAGGAGGAATGCGCCTACGCAGGCACTAGCGCCAGCACCAACGCCAGCCCAGACGCCGGCACGGAGGGTCCTTTCGACGCCAGCTCGGACGCCAGCATCTACGCCTACGCCAGCCCCACGGCCAAGGCAGAGGAGGACGCGGAGGACGAGGAGGCGACGACGGCGGCAGCGGACGAGGAAGCTAAGGAGGCTGAGGCGGAAAGCGCCTACGCCGGCACCAACGCCAGCGCATACGCCAGCACCAGCGCCACCTCCGACGCCAGGTCTGCTTCGACCACCGACGACAGCTCGGACGTCAGCCCGGACGCCAGCGCCTGCGCCTACGCCAGCCCCAACGCCAAGGCTCGGAAGGACGAGGAGGTCGAGCAGGCGACGACGGCAGCAGTGGAGGAGGAGGCCGCGGAGGAACGCGCCTACGCCGGCAACTACGCCAGCGCCCACGACAGCACCAACGCCAGCTTCGACGCCAGCACTGCCACGACCGCCGACGCCAGCTCGGACGCCAGCACCGGCGCCTACCTGGAGGAGGACGAGGAGGACGAGGAGGCGAAGACGGAAGCAGCGGTCGAGGAGGCTGCGGAGGCCGAGGAAGAATGCGCCTACACCGGCACCAACGCCAGCGCCTACGCAAGCTCCAACGCCAGATACGAAGCCAACACCGCCGAGACCTCCGACACCAGCTCGGACGCCAGCGCCTACGCCTACGCCAGCTCCAGCGCCAAGGCCCAGGAGGCCGAGAAGTACGGCGCCTGCGCCGGCACCGACGCCAGCGCCTGCGCCAGCACCGGCGCCATCCCCGAGGCCAGCACCGCCGGGACCTCCGACGCCAGCTCGGACGCCAGCGCCCACGCCTACGTCAGCCCCAGCGCCAAGGGCGCGGAGGACGCGAAGGTAGACGCCCACACCGACACCAACGCCAGCGCCTACGCCAGCCCCAACGCCAACTACGAAGCCAGCACCGCCGGGACCTCCGACGCCAGCTCGGACGCTGACGCCTACGCCTACGCCAGCTCCAGCGCCAAGGCCCAGGAGGCCGAGAAGTATGGCGCCTACGCCGGCACCGACGCCAGCGCCTACGCCAGCACCGGCGCCATCTCCGACGCCAGCACCGCCAGGACTTCCGACGCCAGCTCGGACGCCAGCGCCTACGCCTACGCCAATTCCAACGCCAAGGCCGCGGAGGAGGAGGAGGAGGAGGAGGAGGAGGAGGAGGAGGAGGAGGAAGAGCAGGACAAGGAGGCGACGACGGCAGCAGCGGAGACGGAGGCCCAGGAGGCCGAGAAGTATGGAGCCTGGGCCGGCACCGACGCCAGAGCCTACGCCAGCACCGGCGCCATCTCCGACGCCAGCACCGCCGGGACCTCCGATGCCAGCTCGGACGCCAGCGCCGACGCCTACGCCAGCCCCAGCGCCAAGGCCCAGGAGGCCGAGAAGTATGGCGCCTGCGCCGGCACCGACCCCAGCGCCTACGCCAGCTCCGGCGCCATCTACGACGCCAGCACCGCCGGGACCTCCGACGCCAGCTCGGACGCCAGCGCCTACGCCTACGTCAGCCCCAGCGCCAAGGCTTCGGACGACGCACAGGAGGAGGAGGCGACGTCAGCAGCAGCGGAGGAGAAGGAGGAGGAGGAGAAGGAGGTTCAGGAGGCCGAGGAGGAATGCGCCTGCGCCGGCGCCAACGTCAAAGCCTACGCCAGCACCAGCGCCACCTCCGACGGCAACACTGCCAGGACCTCCGACTCCAGCTCGGACGCCAGCGCCTACACCTACGTCAGCCCCGACGCCAAGGCGGAGGAGGGCGACGACGACGAGGAGGACAACCAGGACGAGGAGGCGACGACGGCAGCAGCAGAGGAGGGTCAGGAGACCGAGGAGGACCGCGCCTCCAACGCCAGCGCCGACGCCAGCACTGCCAGGACCGCAGACGCCAGCTCGGACGCCAACGCCTACGTCGGCCCGAATCCCAAGGAGGAGGAGAATGACGACGAGGCGGACGAGGGGGGCGAGGAGGCGACGGCGGCAGCAGAGCAGCAGCGGCAACACTGCGAACTGGACCTCGGCTTCGACCCGCGGCGCCAAGCGCAGCAGCGCCAACGCAACGAGCAGCAGCACAACGACTACCACGAGCAACTAAGCCCATCCCGTTCACACAGGGACTCGCGCTGGGGGTTGCGGGGCCAAAGGATCGGGGAGGCGAGCCACCCAGGGCCACCCGACGATTGCCCAGGGACGACACCGCGCGGAGACCACCGCAGCACTGGCGAGGGCGAGGACGATATAGTAATATCGATGGCGACCTACCGGCAAGCCAGGGGCGCTCCGCTTCGCGCCGCTCCGCGCCCGCAGGGCCAGAGACACCGCCCAGCGAAGGATTCAGGTCGCCGCGCCGCTCCCTCTCGCCCCTGCCAGCAGAGGACAGTCACTTCGACGCCGTGTTCGGTCGGAGGCCGCGGCCAGAGGTTGCTGCTCCTGCCTGCGCGATGTGCCTGGAGCCGCTCGACAACGCGGGGGTGCAATGGCCCGATTGCGGCCACGTGCCACACAGCTTCCACGCGGCATGCCTCGCCAGGCACCGGCCGCTGCGCCGGGGGCTAGCTCACCTGCGCCACACGGGCGGCGACGCCAGCCGGGTCGAGGAGGCGCAGTGCCCGCTCTGCAACCACAGGTGGGGCGACGGGCCGAGCGCCGCCGCGCGGCTCGCGGAGCTCGTGAGCTGCCTGGAGCGCGGTGACGGGCTCCCCTCCCGGGGGTGCCGGTGCGCGGTCTGCCAGAACCACGGAGGCGCGCCGAGCAGCGACGAGAACGACGACCCGTACGCAGGCGGACCCCTCGTGCTCCCAGAGGGACCCGCGCCACACGCGATCGTCAGGTGCCCGCACCACCCAGGCCAACCCATGCGCTGGCGACACTCGCGCGGGCCGGGCGGGCTGGCGGGAAGCTGGGAGTGCCTCGCCTGCGATGTCGCCCCACTAAGGAGAGACGTCCCGCCGCCACAGGGCGCGAGGCCGCCGCAATGCTCCTGCGGCTGGGCGGGACAGGTCGAGTGGGTCGCCCGGGCAAGCGTGGGCGCGGGAGGGCCGCGGCGATGGCACGGGGAGTGGCTCTGCCAGGGCTGCGCCGAGACAGCGCTCCCGGAGCCGCCAGCGGACGCGGAACCAGACAGGCCGCCAGAGACAGGAGGAGGCGGCGGGAACCCCGAACCAACGCCCGGGAGGCAGGCGCAGATCGCCGCAACACCACACCAACGCAGCGTCTTCTCAGGGTGGCCTCCGCGGGAGGCCCCGCTGCGGGCACATACCAATTCGGACGTCTACATGCCGTTGCTGCTCGCGGCGGCCGGCCTGCTCGATCCGACGGAGGCGGCGCAGTGGGGGGCGCACCGCCTCACGCAGGACTGGTGGCAGCCGACGGTCGAGGCGCTGCGTCACTCGGAGCTGGTCCCCGCCGAGCAGATCGCCCAGGGGCTCGAGTTCGCAGGGGCCCGCCCCAGGACGGTGTACGCGGCGATAGCAGCCGGAGGCGGAGAACGCCCGGGACACGTATACCTGGCGCCCCTCGTCCGGGCCTTGGCAGACAGCGCCGGCCACGTGGAGCCGCAGGCACAGGACCTCTTGCTGGAGATGTTCGGCGGCGCTGTTTTGGCGAGAGGGGTTGACAGGCGCACAGACGAGTTGCGCGACCCCGAGAGGTGGGCGGCGGCCGGGCCGCCCCCGCCGCCCCCGCCGCCGCTGGAGCCCCCAGGCCCAGGGCCGAACGACGGTGCCAGCGGCGGGAGAGGCCCTGGAGAAAGCGGAGACAGGAACGGCGCCAGGGGGGCGGAGGAGCAAGAGGCGCCACAGGAGGCAGAAGAGGAAGAGGAAGAGGCCGGAGGGAGAGGGAGACGAGGTGGAGGAGGAGGAGGAGGAGGAGGAGGAGGAGGAGGAGGAGGAGGAGGAGGAGGAGGAGGAGCGAGCAGCGGCAACGACGACAGGGACGAAGGCAGCGACAGCCAGAGAAACCCACAGCTCCAGGCGCCGGCTCCGGAAGCGGCCAGGGCCCAAGGGGCAGGAGAGGAGGAAGAGGAGGAGGAGGAGGAGGAGGAGGAGGAGAAACATTATGATCCTCCGTACAGCTCCCAGGAGTCAAGGCGACATCCAGGATAGAGCGGAGAAGTCCAGTGCCATGGCGGGCATGAATGTTTTTGTTCTGTCACTAAATATCCTCGAGCTTTTCCTGAATTCCATCGAGGGATTTCACAAGGAACTGCTGTTCATTACTGATATTATTCTAGCTGGGCGTGTTGTTGGTCTCTTGGCGGACTTTCTTCTTTCCTCGTGGGACCCTGCCTCCGGCTGCAAAGCCAAGGGTGGAGAAAGCAGGCCTTTAAGGAGCTGCGATGAACCATGGGGGATTTCAGCCAGGTCGCCCTCGGAGTGGAGGCAGCTGGAGCTCGACAGTGCGTGCCTTCGGGCGGCACTGACGCTGGCGCTGTGTGCGGCGTCCTCGGGCCTGGCGACCTTGCTCATTTTAAACCCACCTGCTCCGCAAGCCAACTTGCCCTGTATTTGGAAAGCCCCCGAGGTCAGGTTCCTGTGCTCCCTGCAGGCAGCGTCTCCGGCAATCACGTCGAGCTGTGTGCCCATTGGGGGCCGTCAGTGCCTGTGCATGAATGCCGTGCCGATCCTGGCCCCTCCTGACAGCAGCCAGGTAGAGTTCTACGCAGCTGCTGTTATCACGCAGGCAGCCTCACAACGCTGTGCCCCCACGCCTCCTGGGGATGCATGGCTAGAGGCGTCAGCTGCCCATCTATACGCCCCGCTCGATCTGTATTGCGAGTCGGGTTGATGCTGGACATTGCTGCTCTCCTCGTCCCCCGCTATACTTGCCGCCTATCTCACCGCTGACGTATGCATGTGTGGACACCTCAGACGTTGGTCCTCAGGGCTGTGGGAAGAAGAAAGGAGGAGGAAGAGGAGGAGGAGGAGGAGGAGGAGGAGGTGGAGGAATATGGTGGCGGCGGAGGAGCAGCGCAGGGGCCACGAGGACGACGCCCTCAGAGGGAAGCGCTCCGCAGGGCAGAGAGAGAGGCGCTAGACGGGGTGGACCTGCAAGCAACCCTGCGGCAACGGGTGGCCACCATGCGGAGCGCCCCCGCTTTCCTCCGCGGACCCCTGCGCAACGCGCTGCGCAAAGCGCTGAGGGAGATCCACGCATTGGGGGGCAACGAGGCACGACAGCTCCGAGGCTGGAAGCTCCTGTTTCTGATCCCGCGCATGCTGCTAAGCAAGGGCCCCGGCGCCCGCACGGTGCCCAAAGAACAGCTGCTGGAACGGTTCGCCCGGTTCGAGGCGGGCGACTGGGCGCCCCTGCTAGCCCCCCCAGCCAGAAGGCGAAGCGGAGGAGGCCGCGGGCGGCCGCTGGCAGGGAGCGACGAGGAGCTTTCCCAGCGCTGCGCGAGGGCGCACGCCTTGGTTCACCAGGGAGAGGTCTCGGCGGCGCGCCAGGCCCTCACGGCCAGCGCTCTCGCGCCGGGGACCGAGGCCACGCTGGCGGAGCTGCGGGGCCCGGCGCGAAGGCTCGCCCAACCGCGGGAGCCGCTGAGGGGGGACCTGGCAGCCTTAGCTCCGGAGCCTATCTTGCTCGAGTCCGACAAGCTCCTGCGCAACCTCCGCGGCTGCCGCAGGGGCGCCGCCCCAGGCCCGTCCGGCTTGACCGGCGAACACTTGCAGACACTCCTGGAAGACGAGCACGCCTGCAGCTTACTACACCACGCGGCCGCGAGGATGGCGCAGGCAAGGCTGCCCAGACCAGTGGCGGAAGCGTTACGCCTGGGGCAGCTCACGGCGCTAACCAAGCCAAACGGGAGGGTGAGGGGCATCGTGACAGGAGACGTGCTGAGGAGACTGGTGGCCCGCTGCGTGGCCCAACAGATCAACGAGGAGGTAGAGGCAGCCACAGCGCCATTTCAGTTCGCCCTGTCCACAAGAGCGGGCACAGAATGCGTGGCACACCTCATCCAGAGCTTGACGCAGGCCAACCCAGAGGCCACGGCGCTCTCCATAGACGGCATTGGCGCGTTCGACCTCATGTCGCGCAACGCCATGCTCCAAGGATTGGGGGGCCTCCCAGCCGCGAGCTCAGCGTTACCATTCTGCAGGATGTTATACGGGCCCCGCTCGCAATACCTCTGGACCGACCAGCGCGGGGAGGCCCACGTCGTGGAGCAGGCGGAAGGCGGCGAGCAGGGTGATCCCCTGATGCCCGCACTGTTCGCCCTGGGCCAACACCCTGCCCTACAAGAAGTGCAAGCCCGCCTGCTTCCAGGGGAGCACCTCTTTGCATTCCTGGACGACATCTACGTGGTGCCTGCCCCAGCGCGCTCCCGCGACGTCTTCGAACTGGTCCACTGCGCGCTTCAAAGGCACTGTGGCATCGGCGTCAACATGGGCAAGACGAAGGTCTGGAACGCAGCAGGAACGGAACCGCCGAGAGTCTGGGAGTTAGGCACCGAGCAAGACCGGGTGTGGGTCGGAGACACCGCAGCGCCGCCACACGAGCAGGGCCTGGTGGTCCTCGGCACGCCCATCGGGCACGTGGAATGCGTCCGCCACCACATGCGCTCCATGCTGGCAGACCACCGCGTTCTCCTGCACCGGCTGTGCCAAGTCGGAGACCTCCAGACGGCCTGGCTGCTCCTGAGCATGTGCGCCAACCCGCGGGCCAATTTCCACTTGCGCACAATGGCGCCGGAGGACACGCTTGAGTTCGCGACGGCCCACGACGAGTACATGGCGGCGGCGGTCACAGACCTCCTGGGAAACCCTGCGGACCAGCTGGCAGCAGGACAGACGGCCAGGGAGGTCGCGCAGCTCCCGCTCTGCCTCGGAGGGCTGGGCCTGCGTTGCGCTGCCCGCATGGCGCCCGCGGCGTGGTGGGCGTCTTGGGCGGACTGCCTGCCGATGCTGCGAGAGCGCGCGCCGGCGCTGACGGCGGACATTTGCTGGGCCCTCGACACCGGCGCGGCCGGGCTCCCACCGGGCCTCCGCCAAGCGGCTGAGGCGCGGCGCCAGCTGGCCCTGGAAGGGTACGAGACGCCTAACTGGACGGCGCTGGCGCTGGGAGCGCGCCCCCCGCCCACGCACGACAGAGAAATGGGCGAGTGGGCGCACGGCTGGCAGTTCTGGGCGGCCCGAGCAAGAGACGACCGAGCCAGGGTCGGCATCATGCAACGCATGCAGGCCCCAGAGCGCGCCCTGCTGCGCTCCCAGAGCGGCCCGTGCGCCGGCCGGGTGTTCACGGTCCTACCCACGAGCGAGCCCATGCGAGTTCCACCCGCAGAGTTGCGCGTCCTCCTCCTGCGCCTCCTGCGCCTTGATTTACCATTCACGGCAGGCGCGTGCAGGTGCCGAGCGCGACTCGACAGCAGAGGGGACCACAGGGCGGCCTGCCCCACAGCCGGCGTCCTCAAAAAGCGGGGAGCCCCTCTGGAGAAGGCGGCGGCCCGCATCTGCCGCGAGGCGGGCGCGAGGGTGGCGGAGAACCAGTTCCTGCGGGACCTGAACGTCGACGGCGTCGGCGCGGGCGACGGCCCGCGGCTCGAGGTGATCGCCAACGGTCTGCCGCTGTGGGGAGGGGCACAGCTGGCCGTGGACGCCACGCTGGTCTGCCCTCTCGGCCGGGACGGCGCGGCCCACCCGCGCACGGCAGACGAGGACGGGGCGTGGATCCGCGAAGCCCGCAGGCGCAAGGAGACCACCTACCCAGAGCTCCTGGACGCGAGGCGCTGCCGGCTCGTGGTCATGGCCCTGGAGGTGGGGGGCCGGTGGTCGCAGGAGGCCCTCCAGTTCGTGCGCCTCTTGGCTGACTGCAAAGCCTGGTCCGCGCCAGAGCTACTGCGCGCCTCGGTGAAGGCAGCCTGGATCCAGCGGTGGACTGGCCTCGCCTCGGTGGCGGCGCAGAGGGCCTTCGCAGCCTCCCTGCTGCACCTGCCCCTGGACGGCCTCGCCTGCGACGGCGACGAGCCATGGCTGCAGGACGTCCTGGCGGACGCGCGCCATGCCGAGGCGCCACTCCCTAGCCGCATGCCGGCGCGCCCCTGAGGTGGGCGGCCCCCGGCCGGGCGAGAGCCGGGGGCGCGGAACACCACCGCCACCGCGAGACAGCGGCACAGGACGAGACAGGGCACCAAGGGAGGAGGAGCCCAGGCGAGAACGCGAGGAGGAGGAGGAGGAGGAGGAGGGTGAGGAGGCAGAGGAGGGAGCGGCCAGAGGCAGCACACCCACGAGAGGATGAGGTAACCCACCCAGCCACAGCGGCAGGCGCCCACGCCGGCACCGACGCCAGCGACTACGCCAGTACCAACGCCAGACCCGACGCCAGCACGGCCGCGACCTCCGACGCCAGCTCGGGCCCCAGCGCCTACCCTTACGCCAGCCCCAACACCGAGGCTGAGGGCGAGGAGGACGAGGAGACGGCGACGGCAGCAGCGAAAGGAGAGGCCGAGGAGGCCGAGGAGGAAGGCGCCTACGCCGGCACCGCCGCCAGCACCAACGCCAGCTCAGACGCCGGCGCGGCGGGGAGTTCCGACGCCAGCTCGGACGCCAGAGCCTGCGCCTACGGCAGCCCCAACCCCAAGGCAGACGAGGACGAGGAGGCCGAGGAGGCGAGGCGACGACGGCAGCAGCGGACGTGGAGGCTAAGGAGGCCGAGGCGGACGGCGCCTACGCTGGCTCCAACGCCAGCGCCTACGCCAGCACCAGCGCCACCCCCGACGCCACTAATGCCAGCACCTCCGGCGCAAGCTCGGACGCCAGCGCCTACGCCTACGCCAGCCCCAACGCGTAGGTGGGTGAGGACGTGGAGGACGAAGAGGCGACGGCAACAGCGGAGGAGGTGGAGGAGGAGGCGGAGGAGGAGGAGGGGGCCGATGAAGCCAAGGAGGAACACCCCTACACCGGCACCACCGTCAGCGCCTACGCCGGCACCAACGCCATGCCTGACGCCAGCAACGCCAGTACCTCCGACGCCAGCTCGGACGTCAACGCCTACGCCTACGCCAACCCCAACGCCGAGGTGGATGAGGACGGGGAGGACGAGGAGACGACGATGGCAGAGGTGGAGGCGGAGGCGGCGGAGGATGAGGACGAGGTCGAGGAGGAGGTGGCGGAGGACGCATGCGCCTACGCCAGCGCCCACGCCAACGCCTACGCCCGCGCCTCCCGCAACGCCAGCACCACCGCCAACTCCGCCAGCACCAACGCCAAAGCCCTCGGCGACGTCATCGCCGACGCAATCAAGGACGCCTACGCCTACGCCAGCCCCAACGCGAAGGTGGGTGAGGACGTGGAAGACGAAGAGGCGACGGCAACAGCGGAGGAGGAGGAGGAGGAGGAGGAAGAGGAGGAGGAGGAGGAGGAGGAGGAGGAGGCCGAGGAGGAACACTCCTACGCCGGCACCACCGTCAGCGCCTACGCCGGCACCAACGCCATGCCTGACGCCAGCAACGCCAGTACCTTCGACGCCAGCTCGGACGTCAACGCCTACGCCCACGCCAACCCCAACGCCGAGGCGGATGAGGACGGGGACGACGAGGAGACGACGATGGCAGAGGCAGAGGCGGAGGCGGAGGAGGATGAGGACGAGGTCGAGGAGGAGGTGACGGAGGACGCATGCGCCTACGCCAGCGCCCACGCCAGCGCCTACGGCAACGCCCGCGCCTCCCGCAACGCCAGCTCCACCGCCAACTCCTCCAGCACCAACGCCAAAGCCCTCGGCGACGCCATCGCCGACGCAATCGAGGACGCCCACGCCTACGCCAGCCCCAACGCGAAGGTGTGTGAGGACGTGGAAGACGAAGAGGCGACGGCAACAGCGGAGGAGGAGGAGGAGGAGGAGGAGGCGGCCGAGGAGGAACACCCCTACGCCGGCACCACCGTCAGCGCCTACGCCGGCACCAACGCCATGCCTGACGCCAGCAACGCCAGAACCTTCGACGCCAGCTCGGACGTCAACGCCTACGCCTACGCCAACCCCAACGCCGAGATGGATGAAGACGGGGAGGACGAGGAGACGACGATGGCAGAGGTGGAGGCGGAGGCGGAGGAGGATGAGGACGAGGTCGAGGAGGAGGTGACGGAGGACGCACGCGCCTACGCCAGCGCCCACGCCAGCGCCTACGGCAACGCCCGCGCCTCCCGCAACGCCAGCGCCACCGCCAACTCCGCCAGCACCAACGCCAAAGCCCTCGGCGACGCCTTCGCCGACGCAATCGAGGACGCCTACGCCTACGCCAGCCCCAACGCGAAGGTGTGTGAGGACGTGGAGGACGAAGAGGCGACGGCAACAGCGGAGGAGGAGGAGGAGGAGGAGGAGGAGGAGGCCGAGGAGGAACACCCCTACGCCGGCACCACCGTCAGCGCCTACGCCGGCACCAACGCCATGCCTGACGCCAGCAACGCCAGAACCTTCGACGCCAGCTCGGACGTCAACGCCTACGCCTACGCCAACCCCAACGCCGAGGTGGATGAAGACGGGGAGGACGAGGAGGCGACGATGGCAGAGGTGGAGGCGGAGGCGGAGAAGGATGAGGACGAGGTCGAGGAGGAGGTGACGGAGGACGCATGCGCCTACGCCAGCGCCCACGCCAGCGCCTACGGCAACGCCCGCGCCTCCCGCAACGCCAGCTCCACCGCCAACTCCTCCAGCACCAACGCCAAAGCCCTCGGCGACGCCATCGCCGACGCATTCGAGGACGCCAGCGCCTACGCCTGCACCGGTATCAGTTCCGAGGATGCCGCCATCCACGCCAGTGCCGACGCCAACGCCTACGACGACACCGACGACTGCGCCTGCGCTGGGATGAACGCCGCCGACGCCTTCACCAGCACCGACGCCAGAGCCGCTGATGCCGGCACCCACGCCAGCGCGTACGCCAGCAACAACGCCGGCGCCTACACCAGCACCGACGCCAGCTCGGACGACGTCAGCTTCCACGCCGGCGACGCCGCCAGCTTCCACCACGCCAGCGTCATCGAGAAGGAGGAGGTGGAGGAGGAGGTGGAGGAGGAGGCGGAGGCGGAGGAGGATGAGGGCGTGGCGGAGGAGGAGGAGGAGGAGGAGGAGGAGGAGGAGGAGGAAGAGGATGAATCCGATCAGGACGCTGACGTCAGCACCACCGCCAGCGCCTCCGCCGGCAGCATCCCCAGCGCCTACGCCGGCACCACCACCAGCGCTTCCGCCTTCGCCTACGCCGACCCCAACGGCAGCACCACCGAGGAGGTGGAGGAGGAGGAGGAGGAGGAGGAGGAGGAGGACGAGGTGGCGGAGGAGGAGGAGGCGGAGGAGGAGGAGGAGGAGGGGGAGGAGGAGGAGGATGAAACCGATCAGGACGCCGGCGCCAGCACCACCGCCAGCGCCTCCGCCGGCAGCATCCCCAGCGCCTACGCCGGCTCCACCACCAGCGCCTCCGCCTTCGCCCACGCCGACCCCAACGGCAGCACCACTGAGGAGGTGGAGGAGGAGGAGGACGAGGAGGAGGAGGCAGAGGAGGCTGAGGAGGAGGAGGCGGAGGAGGAGGCCGAGGAGGATGAGGAGGCAGAGGGAGAGGAGGACGAGGAGACTGAGGAGGCTGAGGACGCGGGCACTGACGCATGCGCTGACGCCAGCTCCGAAAGCAACACCAACGCCAGCGCAGACACCAGCTCCCACGCCTACGCCCACGCCAGCACCAAGGTCAGCGCCTCCGCCGGCACCAGCGCTCGCGCCTACGCCACGGCCAACGCCCTCGCCGTCCTCCAGGAGATGCGGAAGGCGAAGCTGCACGACGACGTCACCAGCTACAGCGCTGGGATCTTCGAATCTGCGCATCCGAGAAGGCCGCGCAGCGCCAGTGGGTTCTGGCGCCGCTCGGCGAGAGGAGGAAACCGAAACTGCAGACCAACGTCATCAGCCACAATGCTGGGATCAGCGAGTGCGAGAAGAGGGGACAGTGGCAACAGGCAGTGGCGCTGCGCACCGCGATGTGGGATGCGAAGCTGGAGCCCGACGTCATCGGCTACAGCGCGGGGAACAATGCGTGCGAAAACGGCGCTCTGGGGCAGCGGGCTCTGGCGTTCCTCAGGGAGACGTGGGATGCGAAGCTGGGCCCCGACGCAACCGGCTATAGCGCTGGGATTTGCGCATGCGAGAAGGGCGGTGTGCGGCAGGGGGCTCCGGCGCTGCCCGGCCCGGTGCGGCCCCAGCAGCCTGATCCGCACCCTGGGAGGCCCCTTGAGAATGGGGGCGTGTACCAGCGGTGGCGGGCGCCGCACACTGCCCGAGGCCCCTAGAGAACGGGGGGGCGTGTAGGGCAGGAGCGGCTGGTGCTGGGCGCCGCGGACCGGGGGCCTCGGAATGGCCCCGGGTCGCCGAGGGCGTCGCCGTCGACCGCACCTTGGTCGGGCGAGGGTCGGACTGGCACTGGGGGAAAAAAAAAATCTACGCCTCAAGGGAGCCATTTGCCGACGCGACGGGGCCATGTGTGGGCCTTGCGGGATCCGAACGGAGGACAGGCACGCCCACGGGGGGCCAGATCTGCAGGCCCCTGGGGTTGGCCGGCATCAAGGCCAAGCCAGTGTCGCATCAGCAGATGGGCATGGCCACCACCTCGCAGCGATCAAGAAGCAGGGGAGGCCACTGCAAGATGTTCCACATAATTCGGAACGTGGGGCTCGAACAGGTTTTCACAGGCCCTGGGCGCGTGGCTGAAGAGAGGTTTTTGGAGGCCGTGTAGGGCCTCGTGGGGTCTCTTGGGGGGTCTGGGTGGATCCTCGGGGCCTCTTGGGGGCCTGCGGAAGTTTCCTGGGGGCCTCGTGGAGACTTTTCGGGAGCCTGTGTGGGTCCTCTTGGAAGCCTCTTGGAAGCCTCTTGGATGCCGCGGAAGTGCACGAGTTTAGCCTCTTTTGCGCAACTTTGGGGCCCTCTTGGGCCGTCCTGGGGCCCTTCTGGGCCGCCTTCCCCGTCTTGGGGAGCTCTCTTGGGTCCTCTTAGGTGGTCTTGGGGCCCTCTTGGGCCTTCTTGGTACCCTCACGAGCCCTCTTGGGGCCCTCTTGGGGGCCTCATG